ATTTCCTCTCATGCTACAGTGTTCCTGCAGTCTTATCTTAAGGTAGCTGCCTGTTTCTCCTTTATATTTCTTACCACAGCTGCATGGTATGGTTTACACACAGTCCTTAGTCATGTTCTCATCTATGGGAGGTCTTACTTGAAAGAAGTGTCTGCAAAGTGTTGAACCACTTTTGAAGGTTGTGTTGATGTTAGATGGACCACAGATATTTTGTATTTTTTTTGATGATCCCTTCACATAGGGTAGGCAAACTGATACTGTTTTCTGAGTGTTGTTATCCTCTTGCAACCTTCTATCCCAGTTTGTTTGTTGTCATGTACCCAGGGTAGTTGTTACATTGTAGGGTACTGCTTATACTGACCATTTCTTGTTTACATGTCTCTGGTCACCACTTATGACTTTTGATCGATGTTGTAAACCACAGATGATCCCTTTCTTTACACTGTAAGGGTGGTAGAGTCAAAGTTGGGATATTGTCCAGTAAATGTTGGCTTGCTATATATGGACATCTTGAACTCACACTCTGTTTGAGATATTAGCAGATCCAGGTATGCTAGTTTGTTGTTTTCTTTCTCCATTGTGAACGATATCGATGATCTTATTGAGTTCACCTTGTCTAGTAGTAACTGGACCTCTTCCTGGCGTGACCAGAGTATGAAGGTGTCATCTACATATCTCAGCCATGGAGTTGGCTTTAGTTATGTGGATTCTAATACCATTTCTTCGAAGTATTCCATGTATATGTAAGCCATTGCTGGTGATAATGGTGAGGCCATTGATAAGCCTTCATCCTGCCAATATATGTCTGATCCCATTCCAAAGTGTGTTGTTTGTATACAGAAAGTCAGCATCTCCATCAGTTTATCTATTAGTATACTGGTATGTTCTCCTAGGGATGAGTCCAAAGCCAGTCTGTCCCTGAATACTGTTAGTGCCTCCTTTGTGGGTACCTTGATGAACAAACTCACCACATCCAGGCTCACCATCTGGTTTTATTGGATGGGAGCATCTTTGATTACTTCCACAAAGTGGGCAGAGCTTCAGACATATGATGGCGACTTTCCTATTAATAGGTCAATACAGTATAAAGAAAGGGATCATCTACTGCTTAAAACATTGAGCAAAAGTCATTAGTAGTTACCCAGTAACATATAAGCAAGAAATGGTCAGTATAAGCAGTACCCAACAACATAACAACCACCCTAGGTACATGACAGCAGCTCCGACAAACTGGGATAGAAAGGTGCAAGAAGATAACAACACTCAGAAAACAGTATCAGTCTGCCTGCCTTATGTGAAGGCATTATTGGAAAAATATACAAATGGTCTGTGGTCCATATAACATCAAGATGACCTTCAAAATGGTTCAACATTTCCCAGTCACCTCTTCCAAGTAAGACCTCCCATAGAGGAGAACATTATTAAGGACTGTGTGTACACCAGCCCATGCAGCTGTGGTAAGAAATATAAAGGAGAAACAGGCTGTCCACTTAAGATAAGACTGCAGGAATATTGTAAAACCATAACATGAGGGGAAATAGAAAATCAGGAGAATTGAGTTAAAGGGAGATAGCTGATACTGAAACATGCAAAAGAGGCATGGCATGTAGAACTAGAACAATCTACCTCAGTGGACAAAATCAAGTGTTCAGTTTGAAATTCCAATCACCTGAAGCCAAATTCATTGTGAATATGGCAACAAAGATGAGGACAACAGTCCAAACAATGTAAATAGTGTAAATAATCACAATACCTGATCTCAGAAATATACACAGAGAAAGACGATATTATAAAGTTATTTACTGATAGAAATGCAACATTGGAAATTAAATTTGAAACATTGGAAAAATATGAACAAGAAAAAATAACTGGCTGTCACAAAAAGAGATTTGAAAATATTAAAAGGCTAATAAGAGACATTGCAAGCTTCTCGCTGCTCTATCACTATTTCTGTTAAAACTGTTCAGATGAACTACACTCCTTAGTTCTACTAGTCCTAACCTTCAGCGCTAAGACCCACAATGCCATTGTGGTGAACCACCCCCATTCCCTTCCTATTCATTTGGTTAAATCTAAGTTCCACTTGAGCAGCTTCTTCCCACGAACCACTCCCTTGTGGAACAAATTCCCAAGAGGATGCTTCCCCAATCATTACAATATCAACCTGTCCAAGTCTATTAACCATCATCTTCCTCTCATTTCTACATAAACTGTGCCTCTCACTATGTAACCATCTACCTCAAGTGTGAACATCATTTTTTTTAAAAAAAAGCAAGAAACATGGATTGGCCAGCAAGAAAATAGTTAATGCAGATTGTGTTATTAATGTAAGCAGAGAAATATGATGCAGAATATTATTAACATCACAAAGAGAAATGTGTAAGTTGGTTGAAGAAGTACATGAAAACTGATTTTGTAAATTTTACTTGTAAATGAAAAGCTACTGATGGTTGGATTAGAGGTTGGTTCCTTCATGGAAATAGTCAATTCATAGAACTCAGAAGACAACAGTGGGGGTGGTAGAGTTTGTATTACAAGAAGTAAAATGATATGTCCCTTGAAAATTGATGATGTTATCAACAAATAATTATTTTAAGCTCTTTGACAAGTTTGGGTGGTATGTTACAATCACAAGGTTTAAATCTAAAGAGTATCATCATTGAAGACAATGCTCTGCCCACCTTACCCCCCAAAAGTTTCAAAGACACCAAATTATAGAAACATGTCCCAAACTCTCCAAAAGTAATTCAAGATAAAGCTTTGTGAGTGCATTAAAGATCTGAGAAGTTACAAAATTGAAATGTTTTTAAATAAAGATTCAGAAAATAATATTTCTTGTTTTTCTTCTAAATTCCCCGTCTCTTCAGTACGTGGGCGATCATAGCTCTCTACAACTTCCTATCTTTTGTAGCTCTTAGCAATGTTTGTATTTTTACTATCCCTTCCATTGCTTGTTCTGTCACCCATTTAAACAAGCTTGTTAGGTTGGTTCCTCATTGTTTCTCTCTGTCCCTCAATATGTCTTGTCAAATTTTCTAACTTCTTTCCTTTTTATGTTACTACCACAATTAAAGTTTGAATAAAATGACATTTACTCAAACTGTAATCATGGTAACCATCATTTTCTTGTTTCATATATAAATAACTAGCAGTAGAGCCCAGCATTGCCCGGGGATATAACAGTAAGAGATAGATCAAGTATCGACCATCATAAAGACTGAAAAATAAAATTGACAAAGATTATATTTTAAGGTTGACGGACACACATGTCTTAATTAGTTTTTTGCTTTGTTTTGTTTTTTTTACGAATTGGTCAAACCCAAACTCAAACAAAAACATTGTTTTCAATCGTTATGAGTCTACCGATTGAATAGAATTTTATTATAAACAATTGTCTTGTAAATGGAATTTTTAAAGCATTCTGAATGTAAAAATAAAGAAAAAAGAGAATAAAAAACACTACCTGTAAAAAAAAAAAGTGAATTTTTGTTGAAATTGGTTGAAAAATGTAGGAAATCCGATCCCATATATAAATGAAGACACACACACAAACAACCTGGGTTTTATAATAAGTATAACTCGATATGAGTTGTCCCCCTTCCATTCTCATGATAGCGATGTCTCTTAGTCGTGTTTTCAAATTGGTTTCATGCAAAAACAATTGTGTTTTTCCAGTTTTTGGCATTGTCAGAACCACCACCGGGTAATTTTACGTAGTCCTGTGAAGTTTTGTTGAAATCGGTTGAAAAATGTAGGAAATCCGATCCAATATATAAACGTACAGACACACACACACACACACACACACACACACACAATCTGCATTTTATAATAAGTAAGATTATAATATTTATAGCAATAATAATAATTTTTTAGGAAAAAGAATGATAGCTGCCACATTAGCTATAACTAATATTTATTAGTGTTTTTTCATGAATCGATTAGTTTTCAAATCAGTGTCAGTCTCAGCTTTATGAGAGTTTCAGAAAACCTTAATTTCTCAGTTGGTGCATAAAAAATGAAGATCAATCTGAACTGGAAAGCTACATTATATAATTTATTTTGGACTGAAGTAACATTTACCATTAGCATTATCATACACAAAAACTCACAAATCATTGTGACCAAATGTTTAAACATACTGGTCTTGTTCAAATTATTGATCATGCCAGATTATTTACTTAATATCAGAAACTGTAACAAACATTTGCTTAGCATAGTTGTAGTATAAGCCCCAGGTTGGCTCTGTGGGTGTTGAAGAAACACAAATGGGACTGAGTGACTGTCTACAGCAGGGATTAACTAAGCACCTTAGCAGATGGGTGTACTTGTAAATGAATAGCCAAACATTATTCATTATATATAACACATACAAGTGGATGCTGAAAGTTTTCAACTCCACCTATTTCCCAAAATGTGACCAAATCAAATAACCACTCATCATTCCTGGAGAAGGATTTCATGGTTTGGTTGATAAATTCTCAGTATGTCATATATATATATATATATATATATATATATATATATATATATATATATAAAATTTAAATTGACATGTCAATCTCAAAAGTAAATATAAAAATGTATCCTATCATTTGTTGGGATGTTTTTTTGCTGACATAAGACGATTAAATAAATATTTCAAAATATAAAAAAAATAGGGAATCTTCAAAAAATTTTATTGATTGCTTAAAAACTAAAATTCATATACTAATAAATGCAGTGATTTATACACTTTTATATAATTATTGATATAACTACTACTAATAGTAGTTTTATACCATATAATAACTAAGGAGTCGGCTGGTGCAATCCTATCTAATCAAGGGGCTGCAGTATTGATAGAATGAAAGAAATAAACCAGTAGGGAGGAGTAGCCACATCTATATAGGTATCAATGTGCTGTAAGAATCATACAGTTCAGGGATAGCATTTTACTGGCCAAGTGAGCCTATGTATCCTGTTTATAAATGTGGGAGAAATATCTGTTCTAAAACTAGGGTCAGGTTGCCTTTTTCCGATCTATCAGGAACGAATCAAGCACAGCTTGCCAGCCAGCCATCTAGCTAGCAAGCCAAGCAGGCAGAAAGAGAAAAGCCATCTCCTTTTCCTCTCTCTCTCTCCCCACCTATTATGTGTAAGCCCACCACCACCACAATGACTACTGACCCCCCACCTCCGCAATGCTGTCCCTTATAATGCTGCCATAGCAAAATTGCAGTGGTAGAAGCAGTAACAGCAGCAGTAAGGGGCCCTTTGCAATGATGTAAACTGACCTTGCCCAACCCTGCTGGGGCTTGCTAAAAGACACTTGGAAATCAGGATTTCCCTTTTATGAATCTTTTTTCTCTTTGCAGTTTTCACAGAATTGAGCTAAAGATGATTCTTCTTAATCTTTGAAGGTTTTAGTCTTTATAGGGTGTTTTTTTTTCTGGTTATCCTTTCATCATTTTTGTTTTTGAATATCTTTCTTTTGATTCATCTGTTTTTTTTTAATATTTGCTGCTCTTATAAATTTATATAAAAACAAGCTAGGTTGTCTAATGATAGCTTTAATAATAATAAATATTTTGGACTAATTTTATGCATTTCCATCCATATTCAACATGTTAATAAAACAGTGTAGTAATATAAAAAGAAAAAAAAGGAAAAGGTATGTCTAAAAATGTAAAAAGGTGGAGACATGCCTTTGAATCTGTTCACTTAATGATACACCATAGATATTTTCCTCAGTTTTTCTTTAGATATTTAAGGCCACAATATAGTAACTCTCTTCTCTCCTTTTCAATTGTAAAAAGACATATTTATATTTACAGTTCTGTTGAGTTCAAGTGAAGAAATATTTGACATCTATTTCTGTATTTCAAAATTTCTATAAGATTGAAGAAAGTAACCTCCCAGAAATTTACATAGTAATTTTCACAAAATGTATCAATTATTTTTGTCAAAAGCAGAGAAATAAACAGAAAATACTAGAAAATTGCAGCAGGTCATAAAATATTCAAACTTGATCTTAACTGAGGCAATATTAGTTAATACATATATATTAATCAAAAACAGTTCTTGAGAAAAAAACTCATTCTTTCTTTTTATGAGTCTTGTCTCCTCTGGGTGTATGTGATCATGGATCTCCACAATTTCATGTCCCTTGTAGTTTTAAATAAAGTCTGTATTTTTGTTATTTCTAAACCCTGTTCTGCCATCCATTTTCTCAAGCTCATCAAGTATGTTATGCTTTGTTTTCCTCTGTTCTTCTTGCCTTCAATCCATCCTGTGAATATCAAATTTTCCAAGCCCTCCTTCCTCATTATGCACCCCAGAAATTTCAGCTATCTCTTTTGATGTTAAGTATAAGTTTCCTTTTTGTTTCTATTTTCTCTAAAACCTTGTTGCTACTCACATGTTCAGTCCATGGTATCCTCAGGGTCTTTCTGTTGCTTCAAGTCTCTTCTTCATCTTTGAGGAAATTGTCCAGCATTCACCACCATACAGTAGGTCAGATATATCATGTAACAGTTCCGTACCCTTTTTTTTTTGTTGTTTCTAATGAAGTTTTTCTTTCTCTTAATACCCTGCTTAGCTTTTGGAGTGCATCTTTGGCTATCCCAATGTGACTTCAGATTCAAGAGTTGCACATTTGAGAAAAATACAGTCGCGTTACTTTAATTATAAGAAACAGGATGGACATAATTAAAATGAAGATAAAAAGGGAAAAACAACTTCAGTAGTTCAATACAAAAAAAGAAAGAGGAAAAATAATGATAAAAAAGTGTAAGCTATCAGTTATTTCTTCTTGCTCATCAGAATTCAATCAAGGAAAATTTGTTTTTGTGCACAACCGACTAAAAGAAAACATGGAATAGAAAACACACTGTATCAATAATCAACTGAGACAGAAATATTTTAAAGGCAAATAACATTGAGTCCCAGCAACCATTCCTTCTGTTTACATTAGAAAGGTTGCTTTGACTTAATAAAAATAGTTACTCAGTCTTTTAGATGATAATTCAAATATAACCTGCACAGAACTGAGAACATGTCCTCTTGGTAAACTGAAGCATGCTCCCAGATTTGTATGAAGTGCTCTGCAATTGCAGACCTGGATGTAATGGCAGACTTGGAAAAAAAAATTTCTTGATTGATATCAGAGGAGTAATAACCAGTTAGCTCACAAATATTTGTTTTCATTTTATATTTTTTGCTCTTTCTTTCATATTAAACTACAGAAATTGTTTTCTCCCTTTTTTCCTTCATTTTAATTATGTCTGTCCTGTTTGCTATAATTAAATTTTGTACCTTGAATGAAATCTTCTCATTACTTTGTACTAAATATAAAGCAACATCTAAAAATATGTATATACTTTTCTTGGCATTTTGAAAATTTGAAATGATGACACCTTTAAACATAAAAAAATGAAATCTATAATCTTTATGACAGCATTTGTATTTACTTTTAAAATTATTAAATTTAAGAAGATATTGAAAAGACCAAAGTTTCAAATCCTAAATGTTTAAAAAAACTGCGTATACATTTTGATTACTTATAGCTGCTGTTTCATTATTAATTTTTGACTAGCTTTTCCTTTCATCTTATTGTTGGCTTCTATCACAATGTTATCTTGAAGGGAGTTACTTCATTTACAATTCATGTTGATTGATTTCATGTTCAAAGAGTATATCCATCAAGAACACAGTGAGAAAAAGAGCAACAATAAGATACCAGAAAATACTAGATAAAAATAATGAAGATATTTCATCTCAAAATTCATAACTCTAAACTATGCACAAAACGCAAGAGGAACAGCCCAAGATCTGAGGTATGAATTGGATATGTCAGAATGAAACAAGTACAGAAATTTAAATATTTAGGAAGTTTTATAACAGATGAGAGAAAATGTGACATAGAAATCTGAAAGCACATTGGAATAATGCCTTCTAAAAGCTAAACAAAGTATTATAAAACAAGAAAATTGCATTAGAAACAAAGAAAATAGTGCTGAACTGCTATCTAATATTAATCATCTTATATGGCAAGGAATGCTGGACAGTTTCCTCACAGATGAAAAAAAGTGACTTGAGGCAACAGAGATGTAGTTCTACAGAAGGAGGCTCAGTATACCATGAATGGAACATTAGTAAAGAGGAAGTTTTAAGGAAAATGTACTTGTACTTTGAATCAGAAAGAATTGAAATTTCTGGGGTACATAAAGGAAAGAGAGCTTGGAGAATTTGTCACTCACAGCATAGCAATTTCAACTATAAAATGATTAAGCCTAGCTGCCAATCTGATACTGCACTTAAATTAAATTTCTAAAGTTGAGGTACCAAAGAGGAAGGATCATCAGAACAATGAAAATGAAAATATTTATAGAAAAGGCATAGGAGAGCTACGTTACAATGGTGGCAAAGAGCTACAAAAGATAGGAAATTGTGGAAAGCCATAATGGCCTACATCTTGAAGGGCCATATTAAGTAAAAGAAGAAGAATAAAGACTATTGCAATATTTATTTCATTCATTTAATTCTATAATATAGCATATAATGCATGTTATGTCTGTTAAATGTTACTGATTTATTTGGATGCATATCTTTTTAAGTTTTCTCCTTTTATCTATGTCTTTCAGGACATTGGTGATCATGGCTCTTCACAACTTCCTATCTTTCCTATCTCTTAGCAATGTTTGTCTTTTTTACTATCTCTTCACTCCTCTGTTCTTCCATCCATTTACACTAGCTTCTGAAGTAGGTTTCCCTCTGCACCACTTGCCTTCAATATATCTAGTGACTGCCAAATTCTCCAAGTCCTCTTTCCTCAAAATGTATCCCAGAAATTTCAACTATCTCTTTCTGATTTTAAATGCAAGTGTCTTTTTTGCTTCCATTTTCCTTGAAACTTCCTTATTGCACACATATTCCATCAAATAATTTAAAAACTTGCATATCAATTTTATAAAAACAATGAACACAAATGCAATGATAAGCAATATAGAGTCCACTGAAGTTGTAGTTGGCTTCATTATTTGTTCAATGTGGGGAATAACTGAATGGAAAAATGCCTAATAAAACTCATCCGTTTCTTTGGAAGTCATGAGTTCAAGTCCTGCATAAGGTAGTGGATTGATTAATTTGTTTTTTTATGGCTTATCAACCTTTTTGCAGAAAATATATTTAGATTCTAAGAATTTTTTTTTTCTGATAATAATGATTTACTGTTAAAGTCCTCTTAATTAACCCATAGCTGGTGGGAGGAAGACGTGGATTCATACTTTTCACAAGGGTATTTGCATGTAAGCAAATATCTCAACTGGAATTGGAACTCAGCTCTCCGGTCTCCAATTCCAAGTAAAGTGGTGACGAGACAGAACAACCCAAATAAGAACTGGTGGCTATGAATTCTGAAAAATCCCAAAATAAAACAGAGGATATGACAGGGAAAGGAATGAGAACAATCTTTGTTCATGGATCAAATATACAATTCCAGTTAACATTTCCAGAAGGTTACCAAGCAAAAACAAAAAATGAGTGAAGGACATATTGGCCAAAGCATTGTGATAAAGACAACAAAGTTCAGGGAACTGATCTGAGAGCATTAATGTATAATAGTAACAAAACCTCACCACAAAAATTCAAATAAACATTGAAAACCTTTGAGATTTGTTTTATTGTTTCTTACTGTTCAGTAGCCAGGAAAGAGTGGGAACTGGACGATATGCAAACATATGTTTTCTTTACAACAATCACAATGCCAAAGGAAAGTATCTGTCTATATTTCTGAGATGAGGTATTGTAATTATTTATGCTATTTACCATGTTCAGACTATTATTATTATTTTCATCTTTGTTGCCATATTCACAACATTTTGGCCACTGCATGCTCCGACCTTCCTCAGGTCATTGGAATTATGAACCTACCCTTTATTTTGCCCACTGGGATAGATTGTTCTAGTTCCAGGTGCCATGCCTCTTCTGGATAGCTCAGTATCAGTTATTTCCCTTTAACTCAACTCTCCAATTTTTTTTTTGTTCATCTCTGCTGTAGCCAGATATTGAACTCACAACTCTTTGGGTCAATTCACTGGATTACTTCAACCAATGCTTCTATCAACTCGGCCATGTGTTCTCAAAGCCAGAGCATACAATGGCTGACATATTATGAATATG